GAACGTTGGTTTCCTCCGTCACTGAAGCAAGCAAGCCTCATGTTAGTTTCAAGCTGCCTGGCTGCCGGCCGCCATCTTGGCTGGCAGTTAATTTGCATATCTCCCTGATTAGCCAATGGGAAGGGTAGCGGTCGTACACCAATTACCATGTTTCTCTTTTATTAGATAGGATTACATTTCATTTATTGGAATAGATAATATATTTACGTGGATTTTAAATCAAAATGATAATGATTGGGAAGGCCTGCTCCCACCCTGACCAGTCTTCTCCTTTCCCACTCCCCACCCCACACCCTACTGAAGGTGATCATTTTTATAGTTTCTGTTTATCTTTCCTGCAAATACAAGTGAATATGGATATGTACACTATCTCCCTGACCCCTTTTCTTACACACAACACAGGCAACTATATATGCTCACTGCTCCTTGCTTTGTTTGTTTGTTTGTTTAACAATACTTTCTGGAAAGCTTATCCTATCAGTGAGCAGACTTTATCCCCTTTCTCTCTCTAGCTGTATAGCATTCACCACCACATGTCCCTGAATTACCCAGCCCTCTATAGATAGACACGTGGGTTCTAAGCCTCTGCTACCACAAGTGATGCTGCCATGAATAACTATATGTATATCTTTGCATACATGTGCAGACGCCTCTGGGGGTTAAATTCCCAGAAGTGCTGCCCCGCCTTTTCTTCCTGGAAAACTCTTACTCACCTCTGACACCCACGGCCTGTAGAGCCAGACATACTAGTAAGAAGAGGCATGGAAGAGCCACAGGAAGACGTCTGCCTTCTCTATGGAGCTGGGAGCATCTGGAGGGTGTGGGTCTCTCCTTGGCATTTGACCCTGTATTCCCATGAATAAATAAATGAAAGAATAGATGGTGTTCAAACTTAGGTTTCTTAAGAAACTCAGGGAGGCAACCCCTCACAGAGAAGTGTTCTCTTTCTCTGGGTACCAATTACTGCTTACGATGAACTCTACATTTGTACACAATCTAAAAATTAATAACCAGAACAATGAAGGGATTTAGAACACACAGCAAATCCCAACGTCCCACTTTTTATATGCTACTCACTCTGCAATCTCATTCTTCAAAGCAGATTAAGAAAAGTCTTGAGTAGGTGTGCATAAACTACATTTTGACTGTTCTGATGCTGATTTCATTTCTCTTTAGGGCATTAATGGAAGTCATCAAATGAGCAAGTAAATAAGGGAGAACACAGTACAACTTTATAGCTGCTTCAGTGTATGGAGAGGCAAAGTACAAGCAAATAAACATGTGGAATAAGCACTGTTCCATGTTCTTACGTGTATTCTCTCCTTTAATCCTCTCCAAAAACAAATGAAAGTTGCCCAGTTGTTACTATTTATTTTTTTAAAGGTCTTGCACACTTATTACTGAACAATCCTACTACTGCAGAAAAAAAGTCAACAGAGCAAGATCATGATTCCAATGATTTTCCAATTAAAGTGCCCCAACTGTCCAGACAGTTGATCTTTTCAATCATTTAAAGGTGCAGGCAACCTGGATACAGCATAAGTATATGAGCCATCTCTCATGTGTGATTCCTCATAGACCCAGTTTGGTTCTCCATTGTCTCCTCTTCCAGTTGTACCTGTTTTCATTACCAGTTTTCATTCGAATCCACTGGGGAATGGGCTGATTCTGCTTTTGTTTCTTGGCCAGGAACCTCTTGATCCTGAAAATCTTGTGGAAAGACATGCCGAAGGAGAAGCAAACACACTCATCTCGATGGCGGAGCCAGTTATTACTATTATTATAAGTTTGGAAACTGAGGTTCAGAGGGGTTAAGAAACTTGTCGAAGGGTACATAGCCAGCAAGTAGTAGAACTGGAATTTGAAGCAAAGCAATACAACTGGAGACTCCATGTCCTTCATTTCAGTGCTGTTCATTCATGTGTGCATGTATGTGTGTATTTTCCATGGCATAGTAGTTGTGAATGTGCACATCTTTATTTCAGAAAACCTCAAATAACTATGGTTTGTTACAAATACAAGTTTATATTTCTCTAGCATAAATGAAGAATAATGGTAAGCAGTCTAGTATTACATTAATGTCCACAGTCATCAGGAACCCAGGCTCCTTATCAACATAGAGCTTCTACCTCATAGCCCAAAATGGCTACTGAGCTCCAGCCACCACATCCAGATTCCTGCTTAGAGCCAGGAGGAAGGGGAAGTAAAGGTATATCCCCTATCTTTACTACTACTTTCCAGAAGTTGAACATGATACTTCTACTTTTAGTTCATTGGTCACAATTTTACCCCCTAGCCACACCTAGTTCCAAGGAAGGATGGGGAAAATAGACCTTGTTCTATAAAAGCATGCTAAAAATATTGAGTTGTTTTTGTGTGTGTTTTTTTACTAAGGAAGAAGTGAAAAATGGATACTAAGGAATAAACTAGCAGATCCTACCACACTCAGTACTAGAGAGGCATAAATGCATGACATCTCAAGGTGAAAAGGGATTTTAAATTTTTCTAGTAAAGTGCTGATCTAATGCTTAAGCATTTGTGCCCATTGGTTGTCTCCTCCCCCCGTTCATAAAAAGAGGCCTGAAGCTACCCCACCTCATGTTTAGTCAATGTTTCTATCGGTTGAACTAACATTCACTTAACCCTATTTTAACCCATTAAAGCCATTCAGAATAATTCTCAAGTCTAAGCCCTCCTGCCCTAATAATTCAGATATTTGAATCCCCACCCCCAGACTGTTTCCAATCACCCACTGTGCTTGCAAATATGCCTCTTCTGTCATCCTCCCAGTGAGCTCACAGCACCCTTCAGTGTCTTACCCAGGATTGGACATGAAGTCCTGGGAGCGGCCTTGCACAGTCAGGGGGGAATTACACCTCTCAGATTATAAGTGTCTACTTATATACTTCTAGAAGGGCTTCTCAGTTTGCTTTAGGATTTTTAACCATTGCTCCACACTTTTAACTCAGATAGTCTTTACCATCTACTAAAGCTACATATCCCCAATTCAATTTTTTTTTTTACAGTTTATTTTCTGGCTTTGACGTAGAACCATAAAAGGCTTTCTACTTTACCTTCTCCTGTGTATAGGGCCTCTTGGCTTGAACTTACAAAAACCCTGAGTCTATCAATCAACAGATCATCTATCCCTCCCACCTCCATCGGCAATTTTGGCAATAACTCTCTCTGTACCTTCATTTATGCCACAGAGCAGATCATCCCACAGAGCAAGGCCAAGGCCAATGCAGTGTGCTACACCCTGAAATTCTCCCTCCAGGTGACATTGATCCATTAAGCAGCCCTTTCTGTGGCAACAGGGAAAACTGGTTTAGATGTGTGTTGCTGCCATAGCGACGTCTAAGCAGGCAGCTAAGAGCCCCGGGGACTTGGCTGTTGGCAGCATCTGTTGCCAGAGCTTTCCTTCAACAGTGAGGAGACTTCCCAACCCCTCGGGAGTCAGGACCTAGCTGTTGGGAGATAACCTTCACTCTCACATTCACTCATTCATCTTTCGTTTGTAAAACATATTTTGAGGTTTTCCACGAGCCAGAATGCCACGTCCTATGAATAAAGGTCAACAAGACCATTGCCTGCTCTCAGGGAGTTCGTCTAACGGGGAGTAATGTCAAAACCAGTTTGACCCTATTAAAACACGTCAGGTCACACCACTCCTCTGTTCAATACTCTGCAGTGGCTCCCAAGCCCCTCAGAGTAAAGGCCTGGGTCCTTCCCATGGCCCCCACAGCCCCACACGTCTACCCTCCCTGCATTTCCCCCCTAACATCCTCCTCCCTTCTTCATTCTCTCCCCTCCAGCCACCCTGGCCTCATTTGCACACACACCAGATGGGTGTGTTCCTGCCATCCCATTGCTGTCTAAAATGCTCTCCCCCCAATATTGGCATGGCTCCCTGCCTCCTCTCCTTCAAGCCTTTACTAAAAATCCCTTCTCAGTGAGGCCTTCCCTGGTCACCCTTCCTAAAATGTCAACAGTCCCAGTATATTCCATATCCTCCTTCCTGGTTTACTTTTCCTCCTTAGCACATCCTGCTCTCTAATATTCTCTGTCCTACTTTGTAATCTTGTTTATTTTCTATTTTCCCCACTAGCACGTAAGAGAGCAGCAGGGAGCTTTGGGTTTTTCTTTTTTTACCAACAGCTCTTAGATTAGTGGCTGACACATAGAATGGATGAAGTGAATAGAACAATTTCAATATAACATGATACATCCCATCAAGTGAGAATTCTGGGATACCATGCAAGCACATACAAAAGGCTCCTAACCCAGTCTTGGAAGTGAGGCTCTCCTGGGAACTGGAGAATGAGTGACAGCAGGCCAGGTAAGGAGCCAAGAGAAGGTCCTTCCACGTGGTTGGATGTGGCACAGTGGCCAAAGGACTGGAGCCAGAGGAAGAACCTGCAAACCATAAGGTGTTTAGAATCCACTCAGTGGACACGGGGAGTCAGGGGAGCAAAAGGGAAAGTGCCAGTCAGACTTTTACTTTAGAAAAGCCAGGGTGTGGGCATGGAGGGGAGTCCGATCGGAGGTTGCAGTTGGTAGAATGGTTCCATAACCCATTGAAAGAGGACAAGGGCAGGAGCTAGCAAATGCTTTCTGTAAAGGGCCAGATAGTAAATATCAGGACACATTTAACTCTGCCATTGCAGCCAGGAAGTAGTCAGAGGGAGTATGCAAATGAAGGAACAGGGCTCTTTTCCCTTGAATGTGCTGAGACAACGCTTAAGAGGTAGAGCCCACATAACAGGCAAGGAATCCGCTTTGACAACGGAAGAGGAGGGGGAAGGAGGACCCCAGCGGGCACTAGGGCACCTGGGGACCTGAAGCAACCAGCGCCCACACCCCAGAGTGGATGGAGGCTGACCTAGGAGAATATGTGTCCATGTGTTTCCAGTTTGAAACATCCCAGAAATTAGTGCAAAGCTGTGCACTGGTCTAGGGAAGAGCAGCTGAAACAGTGAGAGAGAAAGGATCTCCTTGAATGGATCCCGGGCCTTGAGGGTAGGGATTGATGTCCTTGATGCTCTAGAGACACTGAGAGGCATTCTTTGACCTTTCTCTCCCTCCCAGCCTCCCCACCCCCATGCAGGTTCCTCCCCCGCCTCCTTTGCCAGGTTCCCCCAGCGATTCCCAGTCTTCCCTTTCCCCTAAATCCTCTGGAAGACAGATGATGCTGGGAGAAGGTGGCTCAGTGAGCCTCACTGAGGATCAGAAGATAACAGCATACCTGTATTTGGGGGTAGAGAAATTGCCAAAAGAGCAGGCTGACCCTGGAGGTGCGCTGTGCCAGAGGGAGAAATAGGGCGCAGAGATCTTAGGTCTTCTGGGAGGTGAAGAGATGCCAAATTCTCTAACAGCTGTGCACATGACAAAAGGGTGAAAAATAATAAAGTACAGTAAGACAAGATGCCAAGTGAGCGAGCCAGTGGGCTCCATGGCTGGCTCATTCCACAGCCGCAGGCTCCCTGCCCAGGCAGGCGAACAGGGCAGGAGGGTCTGCTCCCTGAGCACACTCCCAGCAGTGGCTCCTTTTCAATAGTTTTAAAGGTCATATGCTGACATGACAGTTGCTGGAACTGTGGTGAAAACGCTCGCAGGAAGCATTGTGCAAGCGACTCTAGAGACCCACAGTCCCCACAGACCGAGCAGCCTCCACGTGGGCCTTCCCGGCCTTGTCAAGCTCCGCTGTCAGCCCACCTGCAGGGCTCCCCACACAGCCCTCAGGTGGGAGCCTGGGCAGAGATGCCTCCGGTGCTCTGTGAGGCCCCTGAACCGTGAGGCCGGCAGCCACCGCCTGGGAGCTTCTCGGAGCAGGTACCAGGACAGCGTGCACAGGCTCCTGACTTCTGTCCCACAGTCAGCCTGGGATTGCACGAGCGAGCCTGGCCCCAGCTGACCTCCCACTGCTGGCGAAGCTGGGGAGAACCCACAGCTCCCTGCAACAGTGTTTGAACATAAATCTGCACCACAGATTTTAAAGCACGCCAATAGAGGGTAAAACCAGACTCTCTGCTTGTCTTGGTTCCATCTTGTGCTGTACAGGGTTCAAAAGGAGCCCAGGTTCTGACCAAACAGGCCATTTTTCTGACTGAACAGACCATTTGCCTGAGCCCCATCTTCAGGACAACCCCACCCCTGGGCCCTCTCACCCTCTGAGCCTCTGCCCACCCTCCCACCAGTCCCCAGGCTTCCTCCTCCATCTCAGGGCTGCCCAGGGGCAGGCACAGAGCTCCTTTATGGACACACAAGCTCCAGTCCTGACAGCCAGAGGCCGCCTGTTTCCTCCACCCTGTCTTACTCTCGGCATCTGTGAGCTTCCCGGGAAGGCTGGGAGCAGATCTAGGCAGGCGGGTCTCCTTCCAACATCTCAGGAAATGTTAGAAGTTACATATCCTGCCCTGGACACACACACACACACACACACACACACCCTCTTCTAGTTCTAACCACAGGCCCCTCTCTAACTGCGTTGGGAGGGGTTGGTCAAAGCCCAGATGCATTTCCCCCGGGAACCCTTTTTGCAGTCCTGCCTCCGTGCCACACAACTCCCAGGGCCGTGCACAGCTTAGCAGCAGTGTCTTGGAGGTGGCAGTGCCCTAGTCTGGGGTTTTGTTTGTTTTGCTTGTTCAAACTCTTCGGCTTCCCATTGGCTGTCAGTACCTCACAAGAGCTCGGGTAACAGGAAGGGAACTGTGCCTGGATGCTGAACCCTGGTGGC